TTTTCTTTAATTTTCTGTTATAGCATCATAATTTTTGGAAATGAAAGAAATATAGTATATGCGCGCTAAATAATAATTAAGTAACGGATATAAAATGTGAAAGCAAAGTCTGGTTTTATGACATCATACATAACTGCCGTGTGTAGGAACTGATTCATTCGCTTACAAAATACCTTCCTACCTACATTGAGATATAACTTTGAAATGTTGAAATGTTAGAACAAGAGAAAAAGATGGGGGGGAGGGAAAGTACTTGCACCTCGTATTTTATTGGATACTTCACTGTCGACAGGTGCAGTATCAACCGGGAACATCGGGCGAATCTGCCGCGGTGACAAAGAACTCGGTCGAACACCATCAATGGCCAACTGTTTAGCAACGACGGTTCCCGTCAATCTAGCGGCTTCTCAAATAGCTGGTCGGCATACGCCCACGAGAAATTCTTTGAGGCATAGCAGGATGATTGTCATGCATCGGACTGGCCATCGTGAGTAGACGATAACTTCTTATCTTTTCAGCTTCATGTTTTTCTAATCGCGATTTGTGTAAATAACAACGAAGAAAGTGATTTATAATTAAAGTTTACTTTTAATTTTCAAACTCATATTTCTACTTTTTATCTCAAAAAATTTAAATAACTGAATTTCTTTAAACACGCACAATTTTTAAAACACTGTTACTTCGTTTCGAAGCACGTCAATTAATTCATGCACGTCTCGCATCGTGCACCAAGCAATAAATATCTAGCCGAATGATTTTGCGGCCGTCAATTAGAACGCGATAATTTATTCGTTTTCATTACGGATACGCATTATGATGGCAAAAAGATGATGGCAAACATTTAAAAATCTAGGCAAGCGTTTCGAAATACTCGTAGCCAGGAACGCGTGCAATCGGCGAAGTACCGCAAAACGAGGAGAGGCAATGGCATTCTCCGCGCTATCCTCGATTGGCTCGATGAAATCGTGCGTATATGATTATCAGCTTTTTGCAATCGGCAGCGATGCGATCGATTTCTCCCGAGGGTGAGATCGTCGCGCGCCCGCAAATCTACGCGGCCATAAGTCGTTTCTTGGTCGTGGAATGCGACCAGCCCGGTATCATTCGATTTTCTTCATTTCTTTCGATAACCATCTCGTTGCTTCGCGCGACACATTATATCACTGCTATATAATTCTGCGCTAACGAATGCACGACTATCGCTTTTAATGCCCATCATGCCGGCCGGCCGGCCAGTAGAATTGAGGTTGATGCCAAGGCAGACAGGAAGATTATAATTAGCGCCGCTGCAGACTAGGTAAGTACAGCGGCTTTTTATCACCACGGTAATTAGATAGCATAAAATACATGGAGCAAATGGTAGCTAATGGAAGGCGTTAGAAGCTATGAAAATGCAACATGCGGAAGGATGGAAGCTTTTAAAGAGAGTGAATATAAAGTTGAGATAACGTTATATCTATAAGAATGAAAAATATGTTTAAAGAATATTTAAAACATCCAAAATAGCGAAAGTGTGTGATATATTAACGAAAAGATAAAAAAATTGAAAAACTTTTAATATTTTACTTTTTCAACCGATGTAAGAGATTGTCGTGTTAATATTATTATAGTTTATTAGATATTTTTTTTATTGAAAATATATAATCAAAATAAAATTAATACGTATATATATATATATATATATATATATATATATAATAATTATTA